TTACTAATAATAGAATATTTATTTATTTATTTATTGACTTTGCTTCTATACCGCTGTATCTCAAGCCCGAAGGCGACTCACGGCGGTTCACAAACAGTAAAAACAGTAGAAACAGCAGTGGTTCCATACAACATATAACAATTGACTTAACACATTATCCATAAATTACCAATAAGCAATTACAATGCACAATTATTACAAAAAACAACCGTACCCAATCTTCTCATCATCCAAGAGTAGTCCAGGTTCGTCGTCCATTGTTCCATTCCTATGTTCCATTACCAGATTGCACTAAATTACTCAAACGCCTGCACAAACATCCAGGTCTTCACCTTTTTGCGGAATACCATTAGAGATGGTGCTAGTCTAATGTCCGTAGGAAGGGCGTTCCGACAGCCGAGGAGCCACCACCGAGAAGGCCCTATCTCTCGTCCCCGCCAGCCGAGCTTGAGAAGCAGGCGGGATCGAGAGCAGGGTCTCCCCGGAAGATCTCAAAGTCCTGGTGGGTTCATAGGCAGAGATGCGGTCAGATAGGTAGCTTGGGCCGGAACCGTTTAGGGCTTTAAAGCCAACGCCAGCACTTTGAATTCAGCCCGGTAGCAGATCGGTAGCCAGTGGAGTTGGCGCAACAGGGGGGTTGTATGCTCCCTGCGCTCCGCTCCTGTTAAAATCTGGCTGCCGAGCGTTGGACTAGTTGGAGCTTCTGGGCAGTCTTCAAAGGCAACCCCACGTAGAGAGCGTTGCAGTAGTCTAAACGGGATGTAACCAGAGCGTGGACTACCGTGGCCAAGTCAGACTTCCCAAGGTACGGGCGCAGCTGGCGCACAAGCTTTAGCTGTGCAAATGCTCCCCTGGTCACCGCCAAAACCTGTGGCTCCAGGCTCAGCGATGAGTCCAGGGTCACACCCAAGCTGCGAACCTGCGTCTTCAGGGGGAGTGCGGCCCCATCCAACACAGGCTGTACCCCTATGCCCTGTTCGGCCTTGCGACTGACCAGGAGGACCTCTGTCTTGTCTGGATTCAATTTCAATTTGTTCGCCCTCATCCAGACCGTTACAGCGGCCAGGCACCGGTTCAGGACCTGGAATATAATGGTATAGTACAATATATTAATGTATAATACTGATATTGTACTATGCTAATAATAAAATCTATTGTATATACATATAGTATTTTAATATAATGTAATACAATATAATACTAACACTAATAATACAATATAATATTTTATATTACATGTAATATTACTAATAATAGAATATAATCGTATAGTACAATATATTAATGTATAATACTAATATTGTACTATGCTAATAATAAAATCTATTGTATATACATATAATATTTAAAATATTGTCATGTAATTCAATATAATACTAATAATACAATATTATATTTTATATTACATGTAATATTACTAATAATAGAATATAATGGTATAGTACAATATAGTAATATATAATACTGATATTGTACTATGCTAATAATATAATCTATTTTTTGTACATATACCTTGTAAGCCGCTTCGAGTCCCCTTCAGAGTGAAAAGGGCGGCATATCAATGTTGTAAATAAATAAATAAATAAATAAATACCTAAATAAATCTTTGTTGGAAATAGCAACCTTTTACAAGCCTCTTCTACTAGTTACTTGTTATGTATATAATTGTGATTAGTTACTATACTGTATGTATATATTGATATGCAGTTTTCCCGTAACTCTATGTTGTTTGAGGTTGTGGGAGGGACTGCAGACCATGTGACCAGATTTGGGACTATTTATTGGAGTGTTTGAGGATCGTTGCATCCGTAGGGAGACCAAGGGCCTTGTTTATAAAGCCATTGTCCTCCCAACCCTGCTGTGAAACGTGGACTGTCTACAGGCGTCAGACGCAACTTAGTTACTATATTTGTTGGAGTGTTTGAGGATCGTTGCATCCGTAGGGAGACCAAGGGCTTTGTTTATAAAGCCATTGTCCTCCCAACCCTGCTGTGAAACGTGGACTGTCTACAGGCGTCAGACTCAACTTAGTTACTATATTTGTTGGAGTGTTTGAGGATCGTTGCATCCGTAGGGAGACCAAGGGCTTTGTTTATAAAGCCATTGTCCTCCCAACCCTGCTGTGAAACGTGGACTGTCTACAGGCGTCAGACTCAACTTAGTTACTATATTTGTTGGAGTGTTTGAGGATCGTTGCATCCTCGGGGAGCATTTGCACAGGGGGAGGCATTTGCACAGGGGAGCATTTGCACAGCTCAGGCTCGTGCGCCAGCTGCGCCCGTACCTTGGGAAGTCTGACTTGGCCACGGTAGTCCACGCTCTTGTCACATCCCGCCTAGACTACTGCAATGCTCTCTACGTGGGGCTGCCCCTGAAGACGGCCCGGAAGCTGCAATTAGTCCAACGCGCGGCAGCCATGATTCTAACAGGAGCGGAGCGCAGGGAGCACACAACCCCCCTGTTGCACCAGCTCCACTGGCTGCCGATTTGCTACCGGGCCCAATTCAGGGTGTTGGTACTGGCCTATAAAGCCCTAAACGGTTCCGGCCCAAGATACCTATCTGACCGCATCTCGGCCTATGAACCCACCCGGACTTTGAGATCTTCCGGGGAGGCCCTACTCTCGATCCCGCCGGCCTCTCAAGCACGGTTGGCGGGGACGAGGGATAGGGCCTTCTCGGTGGTGGCTCCTCGGCTGTGGAACGCCCTTCCTGTAGACGTTAGGCTGGCACCATCGCTCATGACATTCCGTAGAAAGCTCAAGACCTGGATGTTTGTGCAGGCGTTTGAGTAATTCAGTGCAAGTGTGGTAATGTGAACATAGGAACGGAACAATGACGACGAATTTGGATCACGTTTGGATGATATGAGGCGATCGGAGGGATGGGATTTGTGATAATTATGTATTGTTGATTGCTTATTGGTTATTAATGGAACTGTGTAATTTAACTGTTTTGTATATTGATTATTGCTGTTTTTATTGTCTTTGCTGTCTGGAAACCGCTGTGAGTCGCCCTCGGGCTTGAGATACAGCGGTATACAAGAATAGTAAATAAATAAATAAATAAATAATAAATAGGGAGACCAAGGGCCTTGTTTATAAAGCCATTATCCTCCCAAACCTGCTGTGAAACGTGGACTGTCTACAGGCATCAGACGCAACTTAGTTACTATATTTGTTGGAGTGTTTGCGGATCGTTGCATCCGTAGGGAGACCAAGGGCCTTGTTTATAAAGCCATTATCCTCCCAAACCTGCTGTGAAACGTGGACTGTCTACAGGCATCAGACGCAACTTAGTTACTTTATTTGTTGGAGTGTTTGAGGATCGTTGCATCCGTAGGGAGACCAAGGGCCTTGTTTATAAAGCCATTGTCCTCCCAAACCTGCTGTGAAACGTGGACTGTCTACAGGCGTCAGATGCAACTTAGTTACTATATTGTATGTATATATTGATATGCAGTTTTCCCGTAACTCTATGTTGTTTGAGGTTGTGGGAGGGACTGCAGACCATGTGATCAGATTTGGGACTATTTGTTGGAGTGTTTGAGGATCGGGACATCCATAGGGAGTCCAATGTGCTTGTTTATAAAGCTATTGTCCTCCCAACTCTGCTGTACGCCTGTGAAACGTGGACTGTCTACAGGCATCAGACGCAACTCCTGGAACGATTCCATCATTGCTGCCTCTGAATAAAAATCCTACAACTCCCACAGCCGGTAGGGTTTGTTTGGCATTTAGGAAAGTCTGGAGACGTCTTGTGTTTTGGGAAGCTGTACTCATTCCATTTTTGCTGCCTGCAGAGAATCCGAGCGACTGTGAACACTCAAGAGCAGAAGAGGCTCCTCATGGACTTGGACATTTCCATGCGGACTGTCGACTGCTTTTATACCGTCACTTTCTACGGAGCCCTTTTCAGAGAGGTAGGCAGAGAAGACCCAGAATGGTGTGGGATTTTCATAGTATCAATACTCTGAAATGCCAAAACTTCTTTCCCTAAGCACAATACCAAGGACCAGATCTCTGTTTTCCATACAGCAGAACCTGACTCCCTGCACAAAATCCAAAACTCCAAAGCACACTCCTTCTTCCCTTTGGAAAGAAGCCCCAAAGTGACTAGAGTGCTCCCTTGCAAATCTGCCACTCTCCATAGGTACACCATCTCTCTCCTTCCCAAGGAGCAGAGCATTGCGGTTGGAACAGACTCCTCAGGTCTGCCACACTTTGAGCATTATTAGACTGAGTCTTTTATAGGAATATTGTGCTGACATAGTCCCAAAGTTGTAAATTAATGACAGACATCTTCCATCCTGATTCCATCTTAGTTTCCTGGCCAGATGTTGACTCTTCTTGATTGGTGTTGACAAACACAAGGCTTGTGTTGACTTCCTTCTTAACATTTCTTTTATCACTATCCCAATTCTTGTCAGAGTTTGCTTTTCAGCTCTTATTAGCAACTTTTAATTACAGTCCAGCAAGCAGGTAGTTAGTCATTGCAGGCCTGATGCTGACAAACACAAGGCTTGTGTTGACTTCCTTCTTAACGTTGTAAACATTTCTGTTAACACTGTCCCTTTTATTATCAGAATTTACTTTTCAGCTCTTATTAGCAACTTTTAATTACAGTCCAGCAAGCAGGTAGTTAAGTCATTGCAGGCCTGTTGTTGGCAAACATAAGGCTTGTGTTGACTTCCTTCTTAACATAGTAAACATTTCTGTTTTCACTGTCCCAATTCCTATCAGAGTTTACTTTTCAGCTCTTATTAGGAACTTTTAATTACAGTCCAGCAAGCACGTAGTTAGTCATTGCAGTCCTGGTGTTGACAAACACAAGGCTTGTGTTGACTTTCTCCTTAACATAAGGAATGTTGCAAATCATAGAATCCTAGAGTTGGAAGAGACCTCATGGGCCATCCAGTCCAACCCCATTCTGCCAAGAAGCAGGAAAATTGCATTCAAATCACCCCTGACAGATGGCTATCCAGACTTTGTTTAAAAGCTTCCAAAGAAGGAGCCTCTACCACACTCCGGGGCAGAGAATTCTACTGCTGAACAGCTCTCACAGTCAGGAAGTTCTTCCTAATGTTCAGGTGGAATCTCCTTTCTTGTAGTTTGAAGCCATTGTTCTAGTCTCCAGGGCAGTAGAAAACAAGTTCACTCCCTCCTCCGTGTGACTTCCTCTCACATATTTATACATGGCCATCATGTCTCCTCTCAGCCTTCGCTTCTTCAGGCTAAACATGCCCAGCTCTTTAAACCGCTCCTCATAGGGCTTGTTCTCCAGACCCTTGATCATTTGAGTTGCCCTCCTCTGGACACATTCCTGCTTGTCAATCTCTCTCTTGAATTGTGGTGCCCAGAATTGGACACAATATTCCAGGTGTGGTCTAATCCAGGCAGAATAGAGCATGGGGAGCATGACTTCCCTGGATCTAAACATTTGACTCCTATTGATGCAGGCCAAAACCCCACCTAGTCCACCTACCTGAAACTTGAAATAATAAATTTCATATTTCTTATCAGAGGTTACTTTTCAGTTCTTATTAGCAACTTTTAATTACAGTCCAGCAAGCTTACTGGACTGTTATTAAAAGTTGCTAATAAGGACTGAAAAGTCGTTAGTCATTGCAGGCCTTACTGTTTTACTGGTGCTTCCAAAATTATTAATTGCATCCATACATCTTTCCAGTCGTTCCCACACATCATATTAAATTCACATTTCCCAAATTTGCGTATTAAATTTTTGTGACACATTAACCCATAAATGTGGATGATCGGCTGTTTTCTAAATCATTGTAGTTAAGCAATAATGTGTTGTCTCTCTTCCTCTTCGCTTTGCCCTTGTTTCCAGGGCGATGTCTGGATCTGCATGGAGCTCATGGATACATCCCTAGATAAGTTTTATAAGAAAGTCTTGGAAAAGAAGAAAACCATCCCTGAAGATATCCTGGGGAAAATCGCTGTCTCGGTGAGTTTTCACCTTTCTCTCTGGCTGCATTCGACTTTAGCATTGGAGGAATATATTGGGACCTCCCTCCAGATGTGTTGGACTTCAACTCCCACAATTCCTAACAGCCTCAGCTCCCTTTCATTTTCTTTTCTCTTTCCTTTCCGCTTACGCGGCTGAGGGGGAAAAGGAAGGGGCCTGTTGGGACTCAGCCTGTGTTTGACCCTGAATCTGTTATAGTGTGTCTCCCTTCTAATGTTTCTGAGCCTGACTTGGATAGTGAACCTGATGTGGTCAATGTCAATGAGGATGAGGTGCAAAATGGAGACACTTTGCACAATAAGGTCACTACGGACTCTGACCGAGAAGGGTCAGGGGAAAGGCTAAGTTCTCATGAGAAAGGAAGGGAAATTTACTCCCTTCTCCAGGCTCCAGTTTGCAAGATAGTTTCACACCTTCTGCGGCTAATGAGGAGATAGATAAGACCAGTCGCCGTCTGGAAATCAGCCAGAACCGTAGAGAGGCCCAATGTTTACGCAGGCTTCCCCAGGCTCACGGGAGGGCAGGAAAGTTTACTCCCTTCTCCAGGCTCCAGTTTGCAAGATAGTTTCACACCTTCTGCAGCCAATGAGGAGAAAGATAAGACCAGTCGCCGTCTGGAAATCAGCCAGAACCATAGAGAGGCCCAATGTTTACGCAGGCTTCCCCAGGCTCATGGGAAGGCAGGAAAGTTTACTCCCTTCTCCAGGCTCCAGTTTGCAAGATAGTTTCACACCTTCTGCGGCTAATGAGATAGATAAGACCAGTCGCCGTCTGGAAATAAGCCAGAACCATAGAGAGGCCCAATGTTTACGCAGGCTTCCCCAGGCTCATGGGAGGGCAGGAAAGTTTACTCTCTTCTCCAGGCTCCAGTTTGCAAGATAGCTTCACACCTTCTGCGGCTAATGAGAAGATAGTTAAGACCAGTCGCCGTCTGGAAATCAGCCAGAACCGTAGAGAGGCCCAATGTTTACGCAGGCTTCCCCAGGCTCACGGGAGGGCAGGAAAGTTTACTCCCTTCTCCAGGCTCCAGTTTGCAAGATAGCTTCACACCTTCTGCGGCTAATGAGGAGATAGATAAGACCAGTCGCCGTCTGGAAATCAGCCAGAACCGTAGAGAGGCCCAATGTTTACGCAGGCTTCCCCAGGCTCATGGGAAGGCAGGAAAGTTTACTCTCTTCTCCAGGCTCCAGTTTGCAAGATAGTTTCACACCTTCTGCAGCCAATGAGGAGATAGATAAGACCAGTCGCCGTCTGGAAATCAGTCAGAACCGTAGAGAGGACCAATGTTTACGCAGGCTTCTCCAGGCTCACGGGAGGGCAGGAAGGTTTACTCCCTTCTCCAGGCTCCAGTTTGCAAGATAGTTTCACACCTTCTGCGGCTAATGAGGAGATAGATAAGACCAATCGCCGTCTGGAAATCAGCCAGAATCATTGAGAGGCCCAATGTTTACGCAGGCTTCCCCAGGCTCATGGGAAGGCAGGAAAGTTTACTCTCTTCTCCAGGCTCCAGTTTGCAAGATAGCTTCACACCTTCTGCGGCTAATGAGGAGATAGTTAAGACCAGTCGCCGTCTGGAAATCAGCCAGAACCGTAGAGAGGCCCAATCTTTATGCAGGCTTGCCCAGGCTCACGGGAAGGCACAAAAGTTTACTCCCTTCTCCAGGCTCCAGTTTGCAAGATAGTTTCACACCTTCTGCGGCTAATGAGGAGATAGGTAAGAACAGTTGCCGTCTGAAAATCAGACAGAACCTTAGAGAGGCCCAATGTTTACGCAGGCTTCTCCAGGCTCACGGGAGGCAGGAAAGTTTACTCCCTTCTCCAGGCTCCAGTTTGCAAGATAGTTTCACACCTTCTGCGGCTAATGAGGAGATAGATAAGACCAGTCGCCGTCTGGAAATCAGCCAGAACCGTAGAGAGGCCCAATGTTTATGCAGGCTTCTCCAGGCTCACGGGAGGGCAGGAAGGTTTACTCCCTTCTCCAGGCTCCAGTTTGCAAGATAGTTTCACACCTTCTGCGGCTAATGAGGAGATAGATAAGACCAGTCGCCGTCTGGAAATCAGCCAGAACCGTAGAGAGGCTCAATGTTTATGCAGGCTTCTCCAGGCTCACGGGAGGGCAGGAAAGTTTACTCCCTTCTCCAGGCTCCAGTTTGCAAGATAGTTTCACACCTTCTGCGGCTAATGAGGAGATAGATAAGACCAGTCGCCGTCTGGAAATCAGCCAGAACCGTAGAGAGGCCCAATGTTTACACAGGCTTCTCCAGGCTCACGGGAGGGCAGGAAGGTTTACTCCCTTCTCCAGGCTCCAGTTTGCAAGATAGTTTCACACCTTCTGCAGCCAATGAGGAGAAAGATAAGACCAGTCGCCGTCTGGAAATCAGCCAGAACCGTAGAGAGGCTCAATGTTTACGCAGGCTTCTCCAGGCTCATGAGAAAGGCAGGGAAGTTTACTCCCTTCTCCAGGCTCCAGTTTGCAAGATAGTTTCACACCTTCTGCAGCCAATGAGGAGAAAGATAAGACCAGTCGCCGTCTGGAAATCAGCCAGAACCATAGAGAGGCCCAATGTTTACGCAGGCTTCCCCAGGCTCATGGGAAGGCAGGAAAGTTTACTCCCTTCTCCAGGCTCCAGTTTGCAAGATAGTTTCACACCTCTGCGGCTAATGAGGAGATAGATAAGACCAGTCGCCGTCTGGAAATCAGCCAGAACCGTAGAGAGGCCCAATGTTTACGTAGGCTTCTCCAGGCACAAAACAAGAACAGAAAGCCAAAGACTTATCAGCAGCCCCTCGTATAGTTTCTTGCATGTGGATAAAGGAATGCAATCTTAGCTTGCATTCAGCTTGCATGGGGATGATGGGAAATGTCATCACAGTCTCTGTTAGGGACAAAGCTTCCCTCTCTTCCACAATGAAGCTCTGGGTTTCGTATTGGATGTATACCCTGCCATGCATGGATTTCCATCTCTTTTTTCCTCTCCAGATTGTGCGAGCACTTGAGCATTTGCATAGTAAGCTATCGGTGATTCACCGAGGTACGTGTGTCATTTGTTGTTGTTGTTGTTTATTTATTTATATCCCGCTTTTTCTCTCCACAAAGGAGACCCAAAGCGACTTACATTAAAAGCATTTCAGTGCACATGTTGTTGAAGGCTTCCATGGCCATAATCACTGGGTTGGTGTCAGGTTGTTTGGGCTGACTGGCCATGTTCCAGCAGCATTCTCCCCTGACGTTTCGCCTGCATCTGTGGCTAATGGCATCTTCAGAGGTTTACTCAGAGGTCTGTAGGAAATGACGCAAGTGGAGTGTGTGTATGTGTATATATATGTGTGTATATACACACACACATACAAATACACTAGCCGTCCCCTGCCACACGTTGCTGTGGCCCAGTCTGTGTATACGTGTTTTGTGTGTGTATATGTGTGTGTATATATTTGTGTATATCTTGTTATACACACATATATATACACACACACACACATACACTAGCCATCCCCTGCCACACGTTGCTGTGGCCCAGTCTGTGTATATGTGTTTTGTGTGTGTATATGTGTGTGTATATATTTGTGTATATGTGTATATACACACATATATACACACACACACATACACATACACTAGCCACCCCCAGCCACATGTTGCTGTGGCCCAGTCTGTGCATATGTGTTTTGTGTGTGTATATGTGTGTATATATTTGTGTATATATGTATATACACACATACACATGCACTAGTTGTCCCCTGCCACGTGTTGCTCTGGCCCAGTCTGAGTATATGTGTTTTGTGTGTGTATATATTTGTGTATTTGTGTATATAACCAAATACACATACACTAGCCGTCCCCTGCCACATGTTGCTGTGGCCCAGTCTGTGTATATTTGTTTTGTGTGTATATATGTGTGTGTGTATATATTTGTGTATATGTATATATACACACATATACACACTCATACGCATACAGTCGCCGTCCCTTGCCACACATTGCTGTGGCCCAATCTGTGTATATGTGTTTT